ATTATTTCAAAATACTCAACTGCATTAAAACTGCATCATCTCATTTCATAACACGATTATTCATTGTATTCTTCAACCTCGACCCTCAAACAACAATCAATCTTATTTATTTTTCAGAGAGATGAAAAACAACTGTCTCAGTTATTTCAGTTACACAAATAAAAATGTCCAAATGTAACTACTACCAAAAAATTTGACTTCTTCAACGCGAACCCAAAACCAAATGACAACCACTAACATAAAGGCTGAATGAGATGTGATGTGAAGTGAAAGGAAAAACAAGCGAAATGAAAAACGGATACCAACAAATTTAATTTTATTCCAGTCAAATATAACATCATAACGATGAATAACAACAACAACTTAATATATTACGCAACTCTCAGTTGAAGTGTAACTCTCAATTCAATCATCACAAATAAACAAGACAAACACACAAACGAATGCCGATTCAGCAATTGACTTTGATACGACGATACTAAGACAGTGATGTTTTGATAGTATCAATGAATAATGCAGAAAATAAATTGATACAGTTGGATAGAACAAGCTCTTAAACTGCCTCTTCTTTGCCGTGCTTCTCGGGTTTACCACCACGAATTCTACCGGTTCTACGTGCGGCAATAAGACCGACCTTACGACCTGCGCTCGTACCTCTCTTGACCGTTGACGGATGACCAATATGCTGATGGTTACCACCACCGTGAGGATGCTCCACTGGGTTCATTGCCACACCACGAACCGTTGGCCAGCAATTGCGTTTAGCCTTGTATTTGTGATAGGCACGACCCGCCTTCAACAGTGGCTTGTCTGTCCTTCCACCACCGGCCACAATACCTAAATAAATCACGAATCATTATTTCACTAGAGCTTGAAGCAATCAAACTGAGCATCCACTGCACTATTGTAGGCCGCTATCTAACAATAATGTGTCCAGTTCTGTTTAAAAATTATGAATATTACCTACATGAATACATTCTTTCAGTTATGCACACAGTCAAGAATGTTTCACACTAATCATATCAAGAATATAACGAGTAATTTTAAACAAAAAGCTACTAACCAATCATAGCGCGATTAGATGATTGTACTACCTTCTTGGCACCCGATGGCAAACGAATACGAGTCTTCTTCGTTTCTGGATTGTGTGCAATAACAGTGGCGTAATTTCCTTAAAAATAAAACATTGTCACTACGGTCATCAGCACTGCAGTCTGAGAATAACCACTCATCTCCTTGCAATTCACAGCAGTAGTTCGGCGTCGTATTAAAAACAGATCAGGTTTGATGCGGTAAAACTTCAACTCAACCCAATTTGTTCTTATGCGCACGAAATCCAAATGAATATGAGTATTTAGAATTCGTCAACTAGTATAACTGATCCGTAATCAATGAGTAATCCAACCTGATGTTCGAGCAAGTCGTCCACGATCGCCGGTCTTCTCCTCCAAATTGCAGACAGTCGTACCTTCGGGCAACTCACCCAGTGGCAGAACGTTGCCAACTTGAACTTGAGCTGAAACACTGGCGTAATCCAATGTGCAAACGATGATATGCAAATATGCCGTCAAAAACAGTGGTTTTGATCGATACAGAAATAGAACAACAACGCTTAAGGTAAAACGTATATGAATTTGAAAGAATCACGAACCTTTACGACCGCAATAGACGAATTGACCGGTGTGCATGCCTTCAGCAGCAATCATCGTACATTTGTTGGTCTTGAACTTGTACGGATCACGGAACTGAACGATCGCCAGAGGTGCACCACGACCTGGATCGTGGATAATATCCTTTACAACACCCTTTATGTAACCATGACGTTCCGCATAATCAACCGGCCTTAGTTTTGCGGCTCCTTTCCTGTGTTTGTTGTGTGCCTTGAAGATTCCTCCCGGTCCCTTACGCTGTACACGTATACGTCTTCCCATGTTGGTTTCTCACCTAAAACCAATCTCATCGTCACTCCAACGTAATTCTACTCGACTGCTTTTAATTGTTTTATACGACACACGAAAGCAAGCAAATGCAAGTAACCAAAGAAATCAAAACATAACGACACTGCAATCAAATGAAAAAACGCAACTCAAAATTGAAAAATAATTTCAAGCTCAATTACAGTGGAAACACTGGAAAGACGCGATGAACTTGGCGGAATCCAGGGTATTAGAAGTATTGGAAATCAGCGAACAAGCATAAAACTAGTGAAATTCCACGAGAATATCGGCACACTGATTTAGTACAACATTCGATCAACATTAACTTAAAATTGTACAGAATATTCGCTAACGTCAAGTTTGAGTCGACGTACGACATTCGATCAAGTGACTAACAAATACACGAAGATGAACACAAAAATGACTTTTGCGGAAATTCACCCAATCTAGTGCACTAAATTCATCTGGAGTGGATGCAGACTAAACCCCGCCTGAAATTCAACACGGGTCTGTGACAAAAATCGAACTTCATCATCTTGTGTGTCAATTACGACCAAGACCATCCAACAACATCGATTTAGGTGTTGGGAAGTGTGCTGCCTGATCGTGAAGGAGAACTGCTTACTGTAACGATTGCGATTTAAATTTTGGCACTACACCATGCGATTACTTGCACTCGCTGAAGATATTCGACTCTCCGAAAGAATTTGGAATTTCTCAATTGTACCGAAACACTGGAAATGCAGTGATCAGTGTACATTTACCAATTGAAAATATGCACACATATGAAAAGGGCTAGACATTGGAATGGCAAACGTCTCATAGTGACGAATTGAATGAATTTATAGCCGTAAGCAAAAATAATCAATAGGAGCTTATTGATTTTCGCATGCATAACGAGAGCTATCTCGTAGCCATTCCCGTCTGAAGACCATTTGCTTCAATATATGGAGAGAAGACGGCAAATATGAAGCCATCGCAACAAACAACATCATTAAGTGCTATTTTCGGCCCGAAAATCTCGGCTGCTCTCACTCAGAACAGAATTCTTTGCTAAAGTGAAAGAATTTCGTTGATTAGCAATTCTTGGAATACTTCAATCGCTTCCATCAAATCAATAGGTTTGTTTTCGAATCTATTCAGGTCGTATAATTTTTTGAGAATTGTGCATGCGTACATCTGCATTTCGTGCCTTAGAAACCTCAGTTCTTGTAGTTAAGTCTGAGATGTAGTGGATGAAGATCAATCAATTGATTCCGGGGTCACTGACGAGAGGATGCTTGCAATTAGCGTAATCGAATGTGATCGTATAAAATGAACAAATACATTTGAGGTGATTGAACATATTCCGTATAATTGAATGAACATATTGGGATCGGCACTGACCATCAACCATTCTCGGCGAATGTCAACTCCGAAACAATACTTCGTTCCCTCACCAGATGTGGTCACATCAATCGTCTTACCAACCATACTGTTTTGTATTGTTATGGTGATTGCAATGCTGATTGGTATCAACAAATGTAAACAGTGGGAATTGGATAAAATCGTTGAGATGCGACGAACCAGACGTGTTGTTCAACGCATCACGAATCGATTGAGGGAGAAAAACTTCCACACTATTCAACGTTGGTTTTTTGATGAATTCTTGATGCAGCTATCACCTTACTGATTGNTGATAGTTAAGATTTGCTTATTACTACCATTGTTACTGGTCTTCATTTCAAATATTGCGGTCGTCAAAAAAATGTTATACATTGCGACAGTCTCACGTAATTTTTTGACTAATTTGTTTTCTCTCGATGATGATTAAAACTACGAATTGTGGAATCTCCAGATCTTCTTTTTTTACCGGAACTGTGCAAATTCATGCTGTTGCAAGAGCAAAAAGCTCAACAAATATATGCTTTCTTCGTCCGATTCACCAATTAAGCGATTCTCGTTTCATATCGTTCAAGAGAATGCAACAATTTCAGGTGCTCGTAGTATGCGTCAACGTAAACGTGCGTTGAGTGCTCTGGATGGCGATAATAACCATAATAACAACAATCACGACAACAATAACTGCAATCGAAACAGACGAAGTGGTCAAGCGGTGAATGGCTTAGCACCACCGTTCTACTCAACAAATCCACCGTTCAAGAGTGGCACATCACCGCCGCCCAGTTATGAGGACGCCTTATTGGATCAGTATTACTTGGAATGTATACCACCAAATCTTAATAGTAGTAATAACATTAATAGTAACAACAATCGTCTACAGCGTCATTACGGTTCAACGGAATGGAAAATGCATCGTTAACTTATTTCGGATGCTGTTCAAACCAAACCAGAGATCCGTCATGAGCTACTCATTAATACCGGATTAGTCCAAGTCTACAAAGTCATCCAGCAAAGGTCTGTCCGAGGAAGACTTGTCACTTCCAAGCGACACCCTTAGTCATTCATTCCGAGGTCATGAGAATGATATGGAAACGGAGGGTATTTTGAATCGCTCCATTGTAGTTATTGAGACTAAACCTCCTCAGCAGTCATTTCGGGAAAGCATTTAATTCGCATTATGCGTTTCAAATTTTATGTTGCTAACTTAAAAATGGAAACTCTACTAAAAATTTCGCTTTGAATCTCGGATTGTGCCGATGTTCAAAGTGCTGACAACTCTTCATCAAAACGGTACATTCAATTTCACTTCACTTTTCAATTCATGATGATATTTTATACTTATTGTGATAACTGAAGATGTTTTTTCTTTGCATAATGTTTAAAGAGTAACGTATTTGAAGAATAGCGAATGCTAAAATCGTTTTGACGATCCAATCATTGCAGTTTTGACTGAATAATGCTCAGTGTAATTTATTTAAAATTTGTTCAGTTATTCAAATGCATATAAACTTTGAGAAATTCTGTTCAGTCCATAACAGCACAGTGACGAATGAATCCTTCTGAATGTACAAATAGAATTTATCTTCTAAATACACCAGAATGTACTCACTCGGGAACAACAACACCGAATTGCGAATCTCGCTTCGCCACTTCCAACTCATCGTTGGTGAAAAGTGTTTTGAATCGCCGCAAATAATCATCATATTGTTCAGCTAAAACAGAAAACAAACATTTTTAAATTGCATAAGTTTGTTTTCTTGAGAATAGTAACCTCAAATTATTCGTATGAAAATCAATGAACAATGTAGCATAGCCAAATTTCTTAACAGGATTTATTTCGGTGATTCAACTTCCTCAGTGAATCGTATTTTACTCATCTGAATCCTAATCAACGGATACTTTTCAATTCGCAACTATTATACACTGATACTTTCCAAATCGTCCACAACTTTTGCTGAATGCTCAGCAAAGTTCCTAATTTCCAATTTTAAAATGAAGATCAAAGAATCAAGAATGGAATGAAACATGAAATGAAGAAAACAAAATACAGTTAGTGAAGTTGTTATATGTTGATCTGGTTGTATGATTTTGAAAATAGGAAAATACGGCGAAACGAATTTGACGATTCTGTTTCCAAGCGTGTTCAATCAACTTCATACTATTCACTTTCTCAGATGGCGATAAACTATCCAAAAACCTGAACATTGCGATTGTATTCGATGGAATTGCACTTCACTTCTTCTCAATTCCCTGTTCAGAATGATTCATTCGATAGCGTGAACTATCTTTGAAAGGGTTTCAAAAAAGGATACTACTCGATCCATTTTGATTCCCCTCACCTGATAGCGTCAATCAGCTGACCCCTCGACAGAAGCACCTCCACAATTTCCTCCGCAGCTGTGCCCAATCGTGCTAGCATATCAACTGCCAATTGTATCAGTGGTGCATGCTTTGCTTCATATGATAACAATTGGAATGCCTTCAAATATACAACAATCAGGTAATGAAAGAAGTCCACTTCAAAATCACTTCAACTGGAAAGAGAAACAATTGCGATATCAATGAACAATTCCCAAGAATATCTCCTACTAGTGACAGAATTTGAAAGCTATTTATGGAATTTTCAACCAACCTTGCGATTAACAAAACCAATTAACTCACTGTAGCTTCTCTTATAGCCAATGGTATCTGTCGCATGAATGCTATTCATTTCTATACAACTATTGATGAGAATCAACACTGATCTATAATACTTGAAAGCACGGCAATGATATCAAAAGCACGTACTAACTGTTTCGCGTCCGGAATAACCCGATAATGAAGCAGTTGCTGCAATCGATTCAGCTCACCTGCATTCACCATTGTTGGCACTAAGATTTCGTTCAGAAAATATGGCTGCAATATAGCAAAATAACTGAAACGAACTACTTCCCTATTGCATCTCCATATTCAGGGATGGCTGCCTATACGTTCGTTAGGGATGGAAAACTTCCGATTGTTTCCATTCGGTTTTAAAATGACTTCTCTTGAATAGTTTGATTATTCGTTTCAACATGCCATTTCCATGTTGGATGTATTTCTTTAATACTTCGAAGATTGCTCTCAATGTAGAGGAGATTATGTACGAAACTGATAAAATGCGAATACACTCTAAATAAAATACCTCGACATCGATGTTATTCTCTTGCAAGCACAACAAATAATGAAGCATTGTCTGTATGAACTGCTGCTTGTCTATTGTGGCACTCTCATTTGCTGGCAGAAACACCCCTCGGAACATATCCGACTGGTCGATTACCAATGGCTCGTAGGCATCTGCCACTAGAGTGTACTTATTGATACCTTCTGTAAAATATGCTCACTCGCTTCACATATCCCTTCCTTTCATATCAAATTCAGAGCTTTACTAACACATCACACACATCACTCAAAAACTTCTCACACTAATTGTAAGCAAAGTCGCTGTTTGACTCCGTGACTTGATTAATTAAACCAAATGCCAGTCAGTTCATTTTGTATCCACATAAGCGAAAAAAAATTTTCAGTAGTCGATTAATTTTGCACCGCAAAACAAACCGTTATACTTGAGAGGTGCTATAAGTCGTTGTGCGTACGGTTCAACGATTGTCGCGAATAACTTCGAAATTTCACTCAATTTCAACTGATTCGATATCAGCAAGCATTTGAACTTTTCCAAGAAAAGTTCTTTCGTTGAACTGCGATTCAATAAAAATTGAAGGAATTCNCGATATCAGCAAGCATTTGAACTTTTCCAAGAAAAGTTCTTTCGTTGAACTGCGATTCAATAAAAATTGAAGGAATTCATACTGAAACCATAAAACATTCAATATCAGTTTCTACTGAACAGAAGAAAATGAAAATAATTTCTTCCAGCCGGATTTCCTCGAGTACACGCTCGTAATATCCTGCTAGAAGTCATTCCAGTGAACAAAATACAACGCATCACAAGAACATCATTTCGCAGCTCTATGTGATCAACAAAACAATTCCATTAGACATTCTGATGACCACAATAAATTGCTTCGAATATCAATTTAAAAGCAAAACTTGATGATATTATAAGGCAAACCTGGTTGACGAATGAGCTTTCTGCAGATTCAGGATACATCGATATGGTTGAGAATATTCCGATACTCGCATCCACAATCAAATTCGGCGTGAAAATAACCCACGATGGACTGTACAGTGGAATTTCGCCTCGATATTCGCTCATCACTCGATCACTTCGGGTGATTGTTATGCTCATTATTGGCCGATGCATCACTATTCCCGATCGCTGCTTCTTTGTTTCATTCCGAATATCAAACAGCAACGACGTTGATGAGGTCTTGAAACGACATCAAAATGTCACAAATTCCCTTTAAGACTTCTTCCACACAATCAAGATTTAGTGCCATTACTGCATATAATGTAATCACCTTTACGCTATACTATAATCATCC